AAGATAAAACAGTTGCTAAAGCAAAAGGTGACTTATTTATTCTTCTTTTTAACTAACTTTTGAATGCTCCAACCCATATTCAACTGGTATTTTTGTTTGTGGATTCTTTTCAGGAGATGTTGCAGATGGAATTAGGACTGTTTAGTATATCCTCCTTCAAGAGCATACATGTGTGCAAGAAAAGTGCACACACCTACACTCCTGCCTGTGGTGGGAATTCAAGTAACCAAGGAAAACAGTCGCTTTGCTAAGATGCATACTCTCAATTCAGGCTTTTGCAAAGCTTAATCATCAACAAAATCTTTGGAAGGACTTTGCACTCAGCCCCTGTTTAAGGTAGTGACTCTATTGTTTTTCTTCTTATGTCTAAAAAATAATTTCACTGCTTCTGAGATAATGAAGTGCATTAAAGCCAACAATTCCACATGCAGAGAAGATGAGAGGATAGTCTTCAACTTTGCTATTTAGCACCTAACATTCTTTCATTTTATATTACACAGTTATCCAGTAAGGAAAAAAACCCACAGATCAGCCTATGGAAAAGAATACAAACATAATCCTGTACTAAAGGGTCTCCATTTTAGAAGATGATGGAAAGAAGATAAATAATAATTTATCTGGAAAATAATTTGGAAGTTCTTGCTTTCTTTGGAATACTTTGCATCAAAAAGCCTTTCTCTTTTGGAGAGATTTGGACACAGTGATGGCTGAATTGGTAGGAGAACATACCTCCAAGGGAACTGGTAGTGGCAGGAGAAAAGGTGAACAGGATGCAATGGGCATCAGTCACCACACCAGACCACCCTGAGAGGGAGCAGCTCAGCAATTTGCACACAGAATAATTCACACACTACAACTGCTATTACTGCCCACAGCATTCATGTTATGGTTAGAGATGCCTGACTCAGTCAAGGCACCATAATCATATCCTGTGCAGAGACACAGAAAAATAATATGTGGGCTACTTAGAAATGAGAAATTTGAGTTCCTTGCAAAACGAACATGCTAATACAGACTAAAGTGGTGAAAATATGTGATTATAGCCACTTTTTACATAAATGTGKGAAACTATATAGACTGAAATGCACAATTCATCCTTACTGAAGTAAAAAACTCCAACTCTCAAACCCAATTGTTATCAGTGAAAATTCACCTAAAAATATGCTAGAAGTGCTTATAACCTAATGGTACTACAGTCACTTCTACGTCAGGCAACAGCAAGAATAAGAAAWTTTAAAGCAACACTGATAAGCCACAACAGTGGCTTTCATACTTCTAAATGAGAAGATAGCTTGGGGAGGAATCATCATTGTAAGTTAGATCCAAATAAGTCTCCATTAGGCATATTCCTCAATGCAAAGCAGGAAGACTTTAACTGGAAGATATATCAGAAGATCCTTCACTTGAATCTTTTCAGTGTTCTGACTTCCTTCTCCTCCCAGATAGGTCATTTAAGCCAAGTTGCTAGTCAGCAAGACTTTCTGCATCAAGAAATAATTGCCTGAGCACAGATCTCTCCAGTGCCTCAGGAAATACCTGGAGGCCTCCTCATTCAAAAGGAAGTAGTTATTGCATATGCTGCTCACCTGAGTCAATTATACTGGGCACAATGCACATCATAAATTATAGACTAGAAGCATAAAAATTTGATTAAAAAAAAAAAAAGATTTTTTTTCTACCAAACATATCATCCCAAAACTCTGAAAGTGRATTGTTTGAAGTCTTTTCAATTTACTCAGAGAATAACACAATATACAGCAAATGCCAGCTCAACAATCACCTTGAACAAAGCTGCTTTAAATGTTTTTTGCAGATGATTCATGAAGTAAAACAAATCTTTCTTTCTTCCTTCTAATAACAGTCTCATCACAAGATGTCTGCTTGTTACTTATGACTTTTAATGACAACCAGTAAAAGAAAGGATTATGTGGGAATGGCTTCACCTATGAGTCTGCATATCTTTCATCTTCCCCAGAGGGTATATTCTCATAGAGCAAAGATACTCTATTTAGATTTAGTGGCAGATGATTTGAATAGCTTTGCAGCTATACAAAACACAAAGTGAGTTATCCTCTGTGGAGAAAGGYAGAAACACGTGAAACAGTTCCTTGCTGTGCAGGTTGCAAGTCACMTACTCCCCTCCGACCATCTTATCATCTCTAAATTATAGGTACATCAGCCTTTTCCCTCAACGATTCCAGCTGTAAAGCATTTCCAGATCCTTACTGATCTTCCTCTAACAGCTGGTGTCTTTCTAATGGTTTTCAAAATCTCCTATGATTTTTTAACTTTAGAACATCTTTATTTCTTAAAGTATTTTTGTTTGCTAAGACAGACAGACATTTCTGGGTTCATGCTGCACCA